CATCCTAAATTTATTTAAAAGGCCTTCAAAATGATGGCAACGTATCATAAACAGCAAAAATTAGAACAAAAACTTAAAAATATTTTTAAACAATAATATTTTATTTAAAACGCATCACATAATTAATGCATTAAAACATGGGAGAAAATAATTTGTCACGTTGTTTATCGGATATAAGAGTGTGAATAATTTTCTATACAGATGTATCTACAGTTTCATACCGCAACTAATAAAAGTGTGGAACTTCCTGGATAATTATAAACAAAACAAAAACGAAAAATACTTTATTTATATTTAAGACATGGAGGTGAAGGCTCTGGTGCAACTGCAAAAACAGCTATCCGATGGCTAGAGAACAAGATACGTACACATGTCGTAATTGTAACAGACTCTGAAAGTATGCTGAGAAAGTTGAAGACAGGGATGCTTCGAGCAGAGTGGCAAGCTTCACTGGAAAGGTCAAGGAAAGTGACCATACTTTGGATTTTTTCTCCAGGCTATGACGGCGTAGTGGGTAGTGAACAGGCAGACATATTGGCTGGATCTGCATCACTGGGTGGTGAATTGATACATGACAAGGCAGATGTGGTCAAGGCCCTTTGGGAACAAGTAACTGAATCAGTAGAGAAACAAGATTATTATGACATAGAGAGAATGAGCCACTCTGGTGTAACCAGAGGGACTGGCAGGCTCACTGCACTCGGAGCAAAGGCAAGACGGACATATAACCAGATTGTAACCGGTACCATCGGTATTGGAACTCTGCGCTGGCTGCTGAAGATGAGGATGGAGCACGCATGGGAATTCCTTGAGTGCTGTGATGTCGGTTCTTGACTCAACTCAACTCAACTTAGAAATGTCTCAACGTATATACATTTTTTTTTAAATATCCAGAAACCATGAGTTGTTAACCCTTTGGCTCAGTACTATGGATATCGCAACCCTTGATTCCATGATAGGTACCGTAAATCTGGGAGAAAATGTGGCTTTTCTGCCTACCCCCGGGAGTGAACCCGGACCACAAGGAGTTCGTCACCCGGTCACCGCGCAGTCAGGTTTAGCCAACTACGGTAGAGAGGCGGGCACGTATACAAATAATAGTTTAAACTTTTGACAACGCAAGTCGATTAATTAGACCCTGTTTTATAGGCGCCACAGGTTTTTATTATCCATGATTAAAAAATTATAGATGAATTTTCTGGCGAGAACTTTAGTCGTCTGCAATCCTCAATAAATACTTGCAAAAGGGAACCGTCGTGGTAAGGCGGCTAGAGGCTCGCTAGCGAATTCAAAGGACTTGAGTTCAAATCCCTCGCTTCAATGTCGACCCAGCCTTAAATGGGTATCAGATAAAGTCCTGGGAAGTAAAGGCGACTGTTGAACGCATCACTCATCGATTGGTCTAGAGACCATTTGAGTCAAGCATCATTTACCAGATGCCATTGGCGTTAAAAAAATTTCCACTGCTTCATGCGTATTGGGCATATTGGGCTGAACCTATATTTTATTGGCATGCGATGGGTGACGTGTTTTAACAGTCGCCTTTACTTCCCATGACTTTATCTTGTGCCCGTTCAAGGCTGGGTCGACATTGAAACCAAGTCGTTTAAAAAAAATTTGGCTCTGTCTGGAACTGAACCCACCACCTTCGGATCCGTAGGCGAGCCTAGCCGCTACACCACGCCAGCTCTTTACTTTACTTTCTTCTTCTTTTTTTGTCGTCTCACTGTTTCCAGATTGTAGCCCAGTGTTGTGGTTTTCTGTATGTGTCTTGGGTTTCTCAGGTGGCTTGAGTGATGGATTTGTTCAACTTTTTGCAGGTTTCATCTTCACCATTTATCCATCTATTTCTTGGTGTTCCTCTCACATTTCTCTCAGATGTTTTACTGTAAAAGTCTCATATGCAGTCAGGTCTGGCTGCATTCTCACAATAAGGCCAAACCATTTCATTCTTTGTCTGTCAGTACAATCCAGACAAGGTCTTATTTCAGGTTTCTCTGTAATGTTGGTATTAGTAACCCTGTCTGGTCTAGTGTTGCTAGTGACCTCGCGGAGACAGCGCATTAAACATGTAGTTATTTTCTTTTCTGGTGCCCTATTGACTGTTACTTTACTTTCTTCTTCTTCTGCCTTTCTATCCCCCAATGGAGCATAGGCCCTCAACCAACTCACGCCAAGTCGTTCTATCCTTCGCCATTGCATGGAGCTCTCCCCATGTCCTCCCAATCTTTCTAACCTCGTTCTCCAGCTCTCTTCTCCATGTGTGTTTTTTTGGCCTTCCTTTTTTCCTATGCCCCTGTGGGTTCCAATGCAAAGACATTCTAGTAATGCTGTTCTCCTGTTTTCTCAGTGTGTGCCCTATCCAACGCCAGCGTCTTTTCCTCACTTCCTGATCCACTGGAGCCTGTTTAGTTCTCTCCCAAAGTTCTACATTAGTTATTCTATCATACCATTTTATTCCCTCTATTCTGCGCAGGCACCAGTTAATGAATGTCTGTAATTTATTAGTAATTGCCTTGGTTGTTCTCCATGGTTACGCCCCATACAATAGTACTGATTTGACATTAGAATTAAAAAATTTTAGTTTAGTATTTCTTTTAATTTCTTTTGACCTCCACAAATTCCCTAGTGCCATGAAAGCCCCTCTAGCCTTTTGTATTCTTATTTTAATATCTCTATCAGTTCCTTCATCTTTATCTACATTACTGCCTAAATAGGTGTACGACTCCACGTCTTGGAGTGGGGTGCCATTAAGAGAAACCACATTACTATTTGCCTGATTTATTCTCATTATCTTTGTCTTTCCTTTATGGATTTTCGGACCAAGCTGCTGTGATCTCGCATTAAGTATATTTAATTTATCTTGCATCTGTTTTACTTTACTTTACTTACTAATAATTGCAGAAATGGGGAATCGCAAACCCTACATGCATGTCGAAGATTTGTTTTGTAAATAGTTTCTATCCTACGTCCATAAATATGGATTCGCATGTAAAAAAAAAAAAAGTCGAAAAAATGTAATATTTACAGTATCAAATATTGACTTCCGGTGAACAGACATCAATTCTTACATCGAGGTGTGGTCGAAACGGGTTGAAATCTCACGCCAAGTCTGAACATACAATCCATTTTTGCTGAGCCGTGTTTGAAATGTCACCTAGCGCAGATCCTTGTGAATTCGAACTTGCTTCTTTCATTCAACAGACCCTTGTTATTTGCTGGAAAATCTAATAATGCATGTTTATGGCGATTGTATGTAGTGACCTTTGACAGTACTTGACGCATCTCTTCTGGAAAGTTCATCGTCTGACTTTCTATGCAAAGGGAGAAAACCGGTAATGGGCAGATAATCATTAATATACATTTCTTTCTTTCAGGCAAAGAAAGATGAATCAGATCTTGCAAATTCTTAGTCTGGGTCTGGTGCTGTTGATTGCTTGTCAGGCTCTGATTACATCAGAAGACAATGACCTCGACCAGGTAACGAGTTAATCGTCTTTTGTTATATTTCATTACCCCCTCCCCCGCCCCACCCTCTCCCCAAGTTTGCTATGCATATTAGTCGTATCGTATCATTTAGAAAGCCACCAAAACTGGCACAAGATGATTACCATTTTATAGACAGATCAGAGCAAGTTATAATTCTGCACATTAGAACAGGGCACAATCGACTTGGCAGCCACATGTACACAAAATCTGAGATTGCTGAATCAGCCATATGCAACCAGGGATAGTGATCTGTGGAGATGCACGGGTGCCTACACCAGTTGGCAGGGTACATGATGATGATGATGCTCAGAGTCGACCAAAAAATAGGGAGTTCAAAAAAGGAGAAGAGTTAGGGATGGGGATTTGAGTTAGGGAGCTGCATGAGAGGACACAAGATGAGACGACTTGCCGTGCGTTAGTTGAGGACATATGTTTGATTAAATAGGTCAAGAGAGATAAGAAAGAAAGAAAGAAAGAAAGAAAGAAAGAAAGAAAGAAAGAAAGAAAGAAAGAAAGAAAGAAAGAAAGAAAGAAAGAAAGAAAGAAAGAAAGAAAGAAAGAAAGAAAGAAAGAAAGAAAGAAAGAAAGAAAGAAAGAAAGAAAGAAAGAAAGAAAGAAAGAAAGAAAGAAAGAAACAAAGAAAGAAAGAAAGAAAGAAAGAAAGAATTAAAAGAAAGCAAGTCGTCGTCAGAATCATTAGTATCACCACATCCTAACTATTATTACCAACATCACAATCCTCATTATCATCACTAACATCATAACCCTTATTATCATCACCAACATTACAACTCTTATTATCATCACCAACATCGCAACCCTCATTATCATCACCAACATCGCAACTCTCATCATCATCACCAACATCGCAACCCTTATTTTCATCACTAACATAACAACACTTATCATTATCCCTAACATCACAATCCTTATTCTCACCACCAACATCACAACACTTATCATTATCCCTAACATCACAATCCTTATTCTCACCACCAACATCACAACACTTATCCTTATCCAAAACATCACAATCCTTATTCTCACCACCAACATCACAACACTTATCATTATCCAAAACATCACAATCCTTATTCTCACCACCAACATCACAGCCCTTAATATCATCACCAACAACAAAATCCTTATTGTCATCATTCATTTTAGCATAAGGATGATCATCTGCCTTTACCCATTCAATTGACGTTAATCTTCTTCGCGTTGACCGGCTGTAAACTCCGGCGGAAAGTTCTGGTTGTTCGTCCACTTTTGGACTTCAGTCTTGCTCCAGAACTTGAGTTTTGCGTGCATATCCGTCCGGCTTTTCTATACATACTGTTGGTTTCTTGCCTCTCAAGCAGACGCACTCCGACTTTAAAGGAAGCCCCTAATTGATCGACTGTTACGACATGCTTGTTATGGAGGCAGTGAGCCTGTTCTTGTTTTCCTCACAATGGGACCCGGAACCCACTCGGGCAACTGACGTTAACATATGACTGTTCTTTGCACAGCCCTCAAACTTACACCTGACTGACAAAGATGGAGACGAGAGGAGCAGATTCCCTGGAACCATGGACGATGCTCGCCTAGCGAGGCTTCAAGAAGAGGCACGCCTTCTCGGGCAGTGGCTAGCCGAGGCCTCCCATTCGACAGGCGAGCTGGACAAGAGGTTTAAACCTAGCGGTTTCTTGGGTAGTCGAGGCAAGCGGTTTATTCCGGGACTCGAATCTTTGCTCCTCGCCAGATACTACAAGGGTAAGATTTGTTCGACTCATCATCATCATCATGTATCATCTCTTTTGCAGAATACTTATCCCATCATAATTCTTCTTCTTCTTCTTCATTCTAAGCCTTTGAGATTCATTGTTGCAGATACCACCCGCTTTCATTCATCGAAACAACTTCACTTCGCTTTTCAATTGGTAGTGAGCCGCCGTGGTGTAGCGGCTAGATGCTCGCCTATGGATCGGAAGGTCCTGGGTTCAGGTTCCGAAGAAGTAGAACTGGATTTTTGTTTCCTTTCAAAAATCACTTTGGATCTCAGGTCGACCTAGCCTTGAGTGGGTATCTGGTAAAGTGATGGGAAGTAAAGGTGGCCAGAGAGTGCCGATTAGTCTATAAAATATAAAGTAAAGTAAAGACCCCTTTTCACGCCTCAGGCGCATCGGTTATATGGGAAGAGCGTCCCATATTTTTACAGACCAATCGGCACTAGGTGGGTAATGTGGTCAGCATTACGCCGGCCGTCTTTACTTCCCCAGGACAGCCATCCTGGTACCCATTTTAGGCTGGGTCGACCTGCGACGCCCCATACCATGATTAAAAATCCACGCAGCAAGCAGTGGGTTTCGATCTCGGTACGTTGGAATTACGAGTCGGACTCGCAACGCCTAAGCCACGGACGCCGCCTATGAAATATAGGTCTAACCCTATTTGCCCAATACGCCTGAATACGTAGGAAAAGGACCTTCTCCACTTGGTGACTCTGTTTGTAGGTCTGCCTGTATTTTATTTCTCCACAGATGCCTTGGTATTTAGGTTCCCGTCCTACTGTGGGATGACATTTTTCGTTATCTTAAAAGCCCCACCTCGTCTGTAGTCGAGGGCCCTAAGATAACTTAACGGCTGAACGGGGTTTCTGTGATTTTTGCCCGGGTGATACTCATCCGAATGGTGGCACTTTGTGTCACCGGGTGTTGGGCTGAACGTCACATGCCTTGGTATGTCTCGTAGTCTTTTTTCATTCAACTTCTTTCAGGTTTCGACTCTTTGTCTCTGGTATTTTAGTAAATTAGCCATCATGATGCCAGTAGATTTGATTTAAACTGATTAAGAATTTCATTGCCGCTTCTAACTCTTCCTTCTCTCCTGTCTAAGTCTTGTTGGGTTTGAACTTTCATTGTAAGACTGTTTTGAAAAGTTTGAAAATGGCCCAAAATATGTGTTTATAACATGCAGATGTGCATGGGTGTGTTTGGGAGGTGTGTAAGGGTGACATGAAATTTTCCGCACCGGCTTCTACCTGACTTTACAATACCACTAGGTTTGACACTTAATTTTCCGCACCGGGTAGCACCTGACTTTGCTACGCTTTGCTTCCGGCACATATTTAGGCCCGCCAATCACTCGGCTACCGAAACTCCAACGATTTTTCTCTCAATAACAGTCAAACAGCAAATATACACACATTATATTCTGTTTCACATTATCGGGTAAATTCCATATTGTGTGTATTACGGGACAATTCGCCGGAGATAAACGCATCTCAAAGGTACTCGGAAGAAAGCAGGCTGGATGTGTAAATAATCTCGAGTTCCTATTTAATCTAAAGAGATTCCCAGGTGTGATGGGGAATATTTATGAAGCAGCGTCAGTCTGCAGTAGTTTGGTTACTGTAGTTACTGCTGTTGACTCAGTAAATGTCATGGACTAATCAAACATGGCATTCCTTGAACAGTTTGGCGTGTAACGCTGCCCGAGAGAGACAGTGGCAGAAGTAAATATAACGGTCCGAATGTCTTGGATTAGATTCCGCACCTAGATGATTTTTTTTTTCTTCTTTAAAAAATAACATCAGCTCACAGGTCGACCCAGCCTAAAATTGGTACAGTAAAAATCCTGGGAAGTAAAGGCGACTAAATCTAGTCTAACATGCCCCGATGCACAACTGATATATAAAGGGTCTTTTACTGGCCCGCTGAGCAGTTTTTGCTGGACCGCGAGGCTGGTGTGCAATTACGATATAATCTGGCCCTGGAGCTCACAGAATACCGTTCGTATGCAGAAAAAAAGATCAAAATATCAACAACACCAAAACAAAAAACAAAAAATATCATTACCTAAGCAGTGACAACTATAAAACTGGTGTTGCCAAACTGTTGATCCTGCTAGCGAAATACATGTTACCCACAAACTCAGACATTAGGAGACAATGTCTGTCGGCCGACTTTAATAACAAAAAAACAAAACAAAAAGCAACGACCTTTCTTTTTCTCTCAACAGATACATTTAGGAATATATAGAAGCGCTTCTGGGGATGAGTGTGTCTGCAGAGAGGTGTAACAATGTGATTATAATCTTTGATTATCCGACAAATATATCGTGTTAGAGGAAATCTGGGTGTTAGCTTTGTAATGGATTTTTATTTTCTATGTGGCCCGCGAACAGGTTGGAAATTGTAAGTTTTGCCCGCTTTTGGAGGCATTAATAGGGGCGTATATTTGGAGACGCCGCTGTACTTGTTCGTGCTTCAATAGAATTGTTGGACTCACAAAATGTTGACATCTTTATATCCTTTCAAGACGATAGTGTCACACTGTGCTCTGGTGAGTCAACGGAGTCACAGCCCCTGGTGGTGAAGACAGGGGGTTCTTTACTCTACTTGTTCTCCTCCTGCCATTTTCCCGTCATGCAGCACGCTTCATTGTATTCTACTCAAATGAATCCGCCTGTATGGTTCCACACAGAAGGACATTACATCTTTAGTTTTAAATGTTCTTTATTCCGCAATAACTTGTTCTAAGCAAACATGATGATGTTGGTGATCATCCTCATCAACATCATCGTCATAAACATCATGTTGAATGTTGAATTAGGAATCGACATCACAGCACTTGAGATATTCCCATAAGCGCTGTGATCCCCTCTTCAGCAGCAAGCGCCGAGTTCCAATTTCGTTAGAGCCAGTAACAGACTGACTGTATGACCATCTCGCCTTTCCTTGAAATGTTAAGCGTTGGCCAGATCCCCCTAGTGGCACCTCGTGGTGACATTCTCCTTAGACTTGATGATCTGTTTTTGCCTCTGCACTGTTTCCTCGCTCCAAAAGCCCTTTTAAAACATCTAGCTTGTCATATGCCAGTTCACCACCCAGTGGTGCAAAACCAGTCAGTCTGTTATGTTTTCACAATCGACGTCACTGTTCATTGGTTATTCCCATGCGTGCTCAGTCTCCCGATGCAGAAGCAGCTCCAACGTACTTATACTAATGTTCCCATGAGAAGTTGGTTATATTGTCTCCTATATCGACCTCGAAGGTGGTATATACTTGCTTCACCATGTTTTACTCCCATGTCACGCAATCGTGTCAGTGTCAGAGATTCGTTATATCCACTAGCCCTGTCCGTTGAGCGTTGACGATGTCTGCTCTGTCCAGACTTCTTCCCAAAAAGCGTTGGTGCATTGCTTGCCAGTTGGTACGCTCACTCAATACCCTTTACGCCCGCGTACCCTGATGTGTAGATCAAGGGGAGGGAGGTTAAGTGCGATTTTCCAATGCTTTCTACCCATTCAGAGCGCAGTTGCTATCTTCTGAAGCATGTTCAAGGGGTGAAACATTTACTGCCTGTGTGGCTGTTTGCTAGGATATCCATGATAACACCTTAGAAGTAGCAGATTTCTGCCATTTATAACCTTATACTGTTTGAGAAAGAAAAAAAAAAACATTTTTCAGGCCATTTTCGCGCCGGTTTAGAAGCACATTTTTATAAACCAGTTTGTTCAACGTCACATAGGCTGGATTTATTTCGCAGAATTTTTCCTGGTACCAGTTTTAAGATGGCCCACTCGTGAAGGGGATTGGTAGGTGCTTAGCTCAGGAGAGAGAAAGGGGGGGGGGGTGGGGATCGTCACGTTCAAACAGCATCCCCGAAGGGGGAGTTTTAGGTTATAATTGTGACCATGTTATTTGCGCCATATAAAATGGTTATTAGTATTGCACGCCACTAAGAGGCCAGAAAAGGACTCCTGCAGTGTCGATGCGATCAATGGAGACAGATCCAAATACTGTCTCGACCGGCTACGAAGTCGTCCACCAGCGAGCCAATGTGCAACCCGGTCGCCGATGTGTCCACTGAGGAGCCAGTGTCAATTATAAATAGATTTGCCTCGTGTGGATTCAAATCTAAGATCTTTGGTTTGACCAGTAATCGTCTGCAAGTAATTAACCGTCTGATCACTGCCTTCTGGGAACATAGGATTCATCTTCATGTAGAAGAAGGTCTTTTGCAGAACGTCGCTCTCGTCACGGTCTGCTTAAAGAAACTCGGTCTCTCGCCATCTTTCCCCGTCTCGTGCACTTTCCTACGCAACGTGTCACTTTAATCATGTGCCCATCTTTGAGCTGGTCAGCCCCTGACCATTATTCCTGGTACCATGGTTTCTGCTACCCCCCCCCCCCTCCCCCACCCCCTCCCCCCCCCCCCACCAATCCGTTATTGTGCCTGACATGGCCCAAAAGTGTCAGTTTCCGAGCAATATGCCGTTTACTAGCCAATCTTCGTTGATGTTCAAATTTTTAGTATGTCGGTGTTTCTATTCTTCTTTGTCTTTGATATTCTGATAATGTTTCTATAGCATTTCAGCTCAAACGCTTCTATTTCTCTTCCTTAAGAACTGCGTATGTTGCTACAGGGAAGAGGCAAGCTCTCAGAATAACATGACTATAGTAAAATAACTGCGTTTGTTTTCTTTGGGAATCTTTGTGACGCGATGAAACTATTTTTCCTCATCTGTAGTCCAAACATCAGATGGAAGATGTAACATAGAAGCTAAATGTGGAATAGCTCAAGCAAAGGTAGAATTTTACAAAACGAAGAATATTTTGTGCAATCTTTCTTTGTCATTTGAGACGAGAAAGATAATTCTTAAAAACTATATAAACCCTTTCTTGATATACGGAAATCTTCTTCTTCTTCGCGTTCACCAGCTGTACACTCTGGCGTAAAGTTCTGGTTGTTCGTCCACTTCTGGACTGC